CAGTGTTAACTCAGTAGTATCTATCAGGGTTAATTTCTTGTTATTGTTAGCTGCCATCAAGTTGATTCTGACTCATAAAGACACCATACACCATACAGAGAAAACCCTAGCCTGATCTTCTTCCATTCATACAATCTCTGATGTGCTTGAATTCATGGTTTCAACCACTGTGTCAATCTAAATATGTGCTATCATTCAATCAATCTTGTGGAGGTTCATTTCTTAGTTTTTCTATATGTTGTTGTTATGTGTCACTGAGTCAACTATGACCCATAGTGACCCCATTCACAATAGCTCTTGAACCCCGCTTTAAAGTACCATAGTCATGGTGGGGAAAGGTGGATGAAAAGGCTATGGAATTCTTGATCTTATTTTTGTAATTTTTCTGTAAAGGTAAAATTATTCCAGATAGATAATGACACTGCATTGGAACAGATAAAGGGAAGAACTGTCTGAAAAGAGTGTCTGAGCATGCATTATAGGTATGACAACACTTTGGAACAAGGTGCATTGTAAAGTGAATTAGGGGAGAAGGAAAGGAGGAGGGAGAAAAATATGCAACCATGAATTAATGATAAGCCAATCTTTCTGTAAACCTCCATTAAAATCATAATGAAAAAATATTTAAGAACAAAAAAAAAAAAAAAGCACTCCGGTTCTACTTATTCCAAGACAAATTTGTTTGGTTTTTTGGCAGTCAATGAAGTATTCCTTTGCATGGTTCAAAATTGGGAAGGGTGTGTATCTCCATACATTTCAGTCTATATGCAGAACAGATTATCAGGGAGGCTGGGCTGTATGAAGAGAAGTATAGCATCAGGATTGGAGAAAGAGAAAGACTTATCAACAATCTGCGTTATGCAGATGACACAACACTGCTTGCTGAAACTGAGAAGGACCTGAAGTGTTTATGCAGAGGGTCAAGGACTGCAGTCTTCAATATGGTTTGAAGCTCAATATCAAGAAAACAAAGGTTCTTACCACTGAGCTGATGGGCAGCATGAGGACGGATGGTGAAGAGATTGAGATTGTAAATAGCTTTAGTTTGCTTGGTTCCACAATCAACACTCTTGGCACCAGCAGCCTGGAAATTAAAAGACGTATTGCAGTGGGAAAGTCTGCTGTCAGAGACTTCTGCAAAGTACTGAAAAACAATGATGCCAGTCTGGAGACTAAGGTGTGCCTGATACAGGCCATGATCTTTACAAGCACTTGCTATGCATCAGAGAGCTGGATAATGAGTAGGGATGATCTTTGAGCTGTGGTGTTGGAGAAGAGTATTGAATATACCATGGACTGCTAAGAGAATGAACAGGTTCAGCCTGGAGAGGGTTAAACCAGGCTACTCTTTGGAGGCAAGGATTCTGAAGCTTCATCTGACATACTTTGGACACGTTGTAAGGAGGGACTAGTCCTTGGAGAGGGACATCGTGCTTGAGAATTTGGAGGGATAGCTCAGGAGAGGAAGACCCTTGATAAAATGAATTGATTCATTGACTACCCTAGTACTAGGGGTAGGTGTGTCAGAGACAAAAAGATTGGCACAGGATAGAGGCAGGGTTTACTGCTGTTGTATGTAGGGTTGCTATGAGTCACAAGCAACTTAATGGCACATAAGAACAACAACATGAAGTATTCAATATTCTTCACCACAATCACAATTCAGAGACATAGATTCTTCTTTGATTTGCCTTATTTTTTGTGTAGTTTTCAGATGCTTAGGAAGCAGTTGAAAATGCTATGGCTTGAATCAGGTCTACTTAAGTCCTGAAACGGAAATCCTTGCATTTCATCACTTTAAAGAGATTCTTGACAACAGATTTGCCCAGTGTACCATGTCTTTTGATTTTGTGACTGCTGTTACCATGGGTTTTGATTGTGGATCCAAGTAAAATGAAAAATGTTGACAGCTTCATTCTTTTATCAGGATTTTACGTATTAGTTCAGTGGTGAGAATTTTTATTTTTTGGGGGTTGAAATTTAATCTACACTGGAAACTGTAGTCTTTGATCTTTTACAATAAGTGTTTCACATTCTCTTTAATCTTTACAAGCAAGGTTGTGCCATTTGCGTAACAATAGTTGCTAAGGAGTCTTCTTCTAATCCTAATATCACATTCTCCTCCATACAATGAAATTTCTTAGGTTATTTATTCACTCAATATTCATATTGAATTAGTGGAAGGATACAGCCCTGAGATACAACTCTTCTCATGGAGATCTCCTGGCCAGGAGCTGAACTGTCTTCCCAAAGGCATGTGATTTGAATCCACTAGCTATCTGTGGGAGAAAGATGGACAGTCTCCTCTTTTGCAATTTATTTTATCTCATGGCTAAAAGAAAATGCTTAAAACAATAAAAGTTTAACAAAAATACCAAATTACATACTATAGGGAAATGTTAAAATAACTAAACATGTTTTCTATAGTGTAGAAAACACTTCACATTCCTTCTGTCTTTTCCGAAATGTCAGGACTAACATGCTCATAGTTCATTTCCATCCTGCTAAAGAAATTCAAAAAGCTGTGTGCCAGGGTTCAATCTATTCAACCTATGAAACTGGACACTTTGAAGAATGTGTTATCAGGAGCAGAGAAAGCTTCATCAGTAACCAATGTTATGCAGTCGATATAACCTTGCTTGCTGAAAATGAAGAGGATTTGAAATGCTTGCTTCAGAAGTTTAAAGAATACAGCCTTCAAAATGTATTGCATCTCAGTATCAATGGGTGGAATCAAGATCACGATATATGGAGGAATGATTGAACCTATCAACAGCTTCATCTTGATTGAATCCACAATTAATATCCTTGGTACTAGAAGTCAGTAGATCAGAAGATGTGTTGTACTGGTAAAGTGTGCTGTTGGGGACCTCTCTAAATTATTGAGGAGCAATGATGTCAAGCTGAGAACTAAGGTGCACCTTTCAGCCCTTGGTCTTTTCAGTCACTTGCTATGTTTTTGAGACCTGAAAAGAGAATAAGGATGAAAGAAGAAAACCTGATGCCTTTGAGCTGTGGTGTAGGAGAAGAGTATTGAATATTCCATGGCTGACAAAAGATCAAAACCCGTATGTCTTAGAGAAGGTGCAGCCAGAATGCTCATTGGAGGCAAATGTGGTAAGCTTCATCTCATGTATTTTGGGCATGTTGCTAGGAGAGACTGATCATTTGAGAGGGACGTCATACTTGAAAAGGTGGAGGGCTAGCAAAAGAGAGGGAGACCTCAACCAGATAGCTTGACACAGTGACTGAGCAATGGGCTCAAATGTGTCAGAGATTGTGAGGATGGCACAGGATGGGACAGGGTTCAGATCTATTGTTCATAGAGTTGCTGTGGGTCATACTTGCCTTGATGACACCTAACAAGAACAAGGAAAGTGCATGCTTTGCAGTCAATGTGTACTCTAGAGTACACAGGAGAATCGAAAGGCCTGACGTACCTTGGTTCAAATTCTCTTATTCCCTGGCTATGAAATTTGCCTGGCAAGAAAATTACTTGCTTATCAGAGGGAGGGAAAAAAATTAAATTCTGATTTCTGAGTTGCTCTAGTAAAATGTCTACTACAATTTATTTGCGCGTTCTTTATGTCATTAATCGTCTGATTTCAAGTAATTTAGTCTGATTATTGTTAGTTTAACACCAGGACACCACTAATTGACCAAAATACAAATCTAAATTTTTATGTCCTAGGGACATGAATCATTACTTTATTCTGTCAATAAAACATTAAACACTTGGATAGTTTTATTTAAAATGTAAAACGATTATAGAACGAAAATGAGCCATACATATTTTTTTACAAAGAATAAATTACCCCTTAATAACTAGCAAGATGGTTTCTCTATATACAGGGCACTAATATTACAAGTCAGATCTGAAATTACTATTTCTTGTACATATGACTTTTTTTTCCTTATATTTTTCTCATTTTCTTCCTCTACTTTTGAAATCATATTCTATGGTGTTTTCAGAAAAAGTTTGCCTAGTCATTTCGGTTCTGTGCAATACATTTTACATAAGGTGGTCAGGATCATCCTCTCTCTTCCTCACTCTGCTGAGAATTCTCATGATTTCCGTTTTGTTTTAATTTCTATTAATCTAGCTTCCCTGATCGCTTTACATATTTTATTTTTTCTTTTCTTTTTAAAATAATTGTTGACCATTTGGCCATACAGTGGATTTTTTAAGAGCACTTACAGATATTTTTTATAGATTTTGTAATTATAAGCGTATTTATAGGTCATATTCAATTTTTTGAACCAATTTTTTATTTAGCCCCAAGATAGCCTGAGAGGTTAGTTACCATTTAAGGTTTCAAGTGTTGCTCTTGTAAAGTGCCTTCAAGTTTGTTCTAACTTCTACTACAGACCCTGGATAAAACCAAACCAAACTCACTGCTGCTGATTCAAGTCTAAGTCATGGTGACCCTGTATCAAACACCACCTAATCCTTTATCATTCTTACACTTAGTTCCAGGCTTGATCCATTGTTGCAGTCACTGTATCCATACATTTGGATGAGAGTCTTCCTCTTTTTTGCTGATCCTCCAGTTCATGAAACACTAGGGAGCACTGGTGGCCTAGTGGTAAAAAGCTGCATTGTAGTCTCAAAGGCATGTGGTTTGAATACACCAGCTGCTCTGCAGGAGAATGATGGGAAATCTCCTCTCCTGCAATTAACTGCCTCTGAAAACCTGATGGAGAGTGAGCTGTGGGTCAGTTCTGACTCAAAGGAACACAAGAATTATGACATTCAGATGACGTATCCAAAGTACATCATGGCTTTTTCTAAGACAGATTGGTTCATTCTTCTCAGAGTCTATGGTATATGCAGTATTCTTTGCTTCAGTTCATCTTTGAGCTTCCTTATCCATTGATGAGTTTTCACATGCATATGAGACTATTAAAAACCTGCCGTGGCTTGGCTCAGGCATACTGTGTCCTCATTATGACGCTTTTGCTTTTTAATACTTCGAAGTGGTTTTTTGCAGCAGATTTTCTCAATGGAACATGTCATTGGGTTCATATCTGCTGACTGTCAAGGGGGTTTATTGTGAATCCAAGTGTAGGAAATACCTAGGATTATGATTTTCTCTGTTTACCATGAATTGCTTATTGGTCGAATTGTGAAGAACATCTCTGGGCTAAAATCTCAGAAAGTCTTCCTTTAGTGTTAACTAATCCGGCAGATTTTTTTTTTTAAAAAGCGATTTTGTCCCACTTGTATTTTTCTCCCATCAGGATCCATTTGTTGTGACCCTAATTAGAAACTCAGTAGTGGTAGCTGGACACTAGCACTTCTAACATCAAGGAGGGTGAAGTTGTGGCTCAGGCCTTCTCTGCTCATTGAACATACCAGGTCTAGCTATGGATCATTTAGCCCTGCCTTACATGGCAAATTTAGTAAAAATAAGGATGATTCTTGGTTTGCAGTGTAGTTTTTTGTTTCTGATTCCTAACTTTCTTTTGTTTTGTATTTCCGCCTGTGCTCCCAAGGAACTTGTGAAAATTCATCGGAATCTAATGCAGGAGATTCATGATTCCATTGTAAATAAAAATAACCAGAACTTGTATCAAGTATTCATTAACTACAAGGAAAGGTAACTTTAAAGTTTTAAGTTTTGTGCATGTTAATAATGCTTTCTATTGTTGGTTTTCTTATGTACCATTGAGTTGGAATGAACTCATAGCTGACCTTCCAACAGGTTTTCAGAGCCAGTTAATTGCATGAGAGGGAATTGCTTTTCTTTTTCCTGGAGCAATAGCTGATGGCTAGGAACCCCATGCATTTGAGTTAGCAGTCCATCTGTTTACCACTAAAGCCATCAGCGCTTCCTATTAATAAAGCTGATGATGATGAAAATGAAAAATGCTAAATAATAGCTTGTTACTACTGTTTATTGAAAGTAGTAGCTGCCCAGTAAATACAATGCTGTTTACTGTTTTACCATTGAGTCAGAACCGACCCATAGTAGACCCTCCCATGGGTTTTCAGAGGCAGTTAATGACATGGGAGGACATTGCCTATCCTTCTCCCATGGAGCAACTGGTGGCCTTGAACCACATGGCTTTGGGATTGCAACGCAGCTGCTTGCCACTAGGCCACCAGAGCTCCCAGTAATTACAATACAGATCATTAATTTGAGGGTTAATAAATTGGGCTCTCTGAGTATAGATAAAATTACTAATTATACAAAATAGAAGAGTAGGGAAAATTTACATGCTGAAGACTTTACATTAGTATTTGTGACTAACCCTCATAATTCATGCAATGCAGTAATGTATGTGAAATATGTTTGCCAGTGGTTTATTTTATTTCCAACAGAATACTGTAAGCAGAACAAGAAAGTCAAGTATCTATACCATTAATTGCTTAGCACTAAGAGCCATTTTCTAGGTATTTTAGTCTCAGCCTCTGTTTAAGTGTGATGATATGAAATGCAAAAGATCTATCTGCATCAGGATTACTTTCCAGTTATATGAACCATATATAGAAATATATCCTCTACATCTCTTGACCAAAAGGAGTTGCTTTTAGCTATCTGAGTTGATTTTGAATTAACAAATAATAAAATAATTAGCTCTTATATTATGGAGGGGAGGGGAAATCCAGTATGGTGGTACAGAGACTATTGAATTGAAAAAATAAAACCGGAAGGCTCAAGTTCTTTTACAAACCTGTTGACAAGTTATGTAATATTTGTCAAGTCAGTTTAACTCTATGTCCTTCCATTTTCTTGTCTGTGGTTGCTAGAAATTGATGAGTTTTGCACTTTCCTTCCATGTAGGAGACCCAAGTTCAATTCCCAACTCAGTTTTTTGCTGGACACCTCATGTCCAGCTGCCACAACCTGTCAGTTGACTTGTGAGTGAGTGCTGCTGTGATGCTGAACATGTTTCAGCAGAGTTTCTAGATAAGGTTGGACTAGAAGAAAGACCAGGTGACCTACTTGCTGAAATCAGGTGGTGGAAACAATCACTCACTCTTATTTTTCCCCCATCAATCATGGGCATAGTGTAGGCAGCATTTAATTCTGTTGTGCATGGTGTCACCACCTTGACAGCAGCTATCAATAACTTTTTTCATCTCAACTTTTAATCCTTTTTTTTTGCTCTTGATTGGCCCACTAAGCAAGGAGCTGTGTAAATCCAAAGCCAGGAAATTCAAATCTGCCAGCTGCTCTTCAGGAGATAGATGCGCAGTCTGTTCCTGCACCATTTACAGCCTCTGAAAACCAGAGCAGATTCAGTTATGAGCGGTTCTGACCCCAGGGAAGTGTTCTGACGTTATCTTTTGACCATTTTGAAATATCAGTTGTATAGTCAAAGTCAGTTTTTCTTTTACTTTTTTTTTAAATTATTATTATTTGTGTGTGTGTACCATCAAATCAGAGCTGACTGGTACAGAAGGAGATTGTCCCTCCTTCTCCAGCAGAGCATCTGGTGGATTCGAACCATGCACCTCTGGGATTGCAGTGTAATTTTTCTTTTAATTTTTAAGAAAAAAATTCTTGTAAACGGGCCACATGAGCTAAAGTACTGGGGAGCTCTGAGTGATAAACTATAGTTTTCTCTCTTTAAAACAAGTGATATAACACCCAGTGTTGACTAAGAAGGGCTAATGAGTTGCTTTCCATGAAATGCTAAGTAAACATGGTACTAGTAGTTTCAGTGGAGAAGTTAAAAGAAACAAAAAAGCAACTCTGCAGAGTGTCTGCTCACTTTTGGTGAAACAGGTTCAGCTGCATGCAGTGGAGTTTTTCCACTCGTTAATTGAAAAGTAGGAAAGAGTTGGAGGTTTATTAATGAGTGAAGTGCTAAGCAGTTATTACAGTTATTTTTTTAGCAGAAGAGAAAGTTATTTTTGTGTATGTTGTTGTTGTTGATTGCCATCGAGTCGAGCACAACACATAGCAACCCTATGAACAAATGGCCTGAAGCCCTTCCACAGCCATCATCATTTATTAAAGTTCACAGAGTGTCTTGAAGCATTCTCTTTAGGAAATGGATGCCACTCTTGTTTCCAATTTCTGTATATAAGTAAATGGTAAAAAGATTATTTATGCTAAGAGCTTAAATATTTCTTTTTATTTCTGTCATATATATGTTTGCTCACATATTTACACATGAAGTCATCAACCAGTTTGTAAAACTCTACCTGGTATAAAAATGTAGGTGAAATTAGTCCATTTAAATTTAGAACTGAAAGGCAATCACTTTTGGGCTGCAAATATGAGTGTCCTTCCCTCAAACTCTCTGACTCTGTGTGTAGCATACATTAAAGAAAGTTTCTGTTACTTTGATGAACCTTCACTGTGGTTTTAAATGGGTGAAAACGGTCTCTTCACTCCTAGATAGTCTCCCTTTGAATCTTGTACATTTCTTTCTTTTTCCCTGTAGGTTGGTTGTTTATGGACAGTACTGCAGTGGTGTGGAGACCGCCATCTCTAATTTAGACAACATTTCTAAGACAAAAGAAGATGTCCGGTTGAAATTAGAGGTATCTCTTTATTTTTTTTTCTTTATGGTACAGAGAAAACGACATTTTTGAAAAACAAAATGTATTCTTTATCATGCTCAATCCAATAGTGAGATTTCCCACGTGTTCTGAATATAACTTTATGCCTGTTTTATAAAATATGTTCATAGGTCTAAAAAAGTAATAATATGGCTATAATAATAAAGTGATGAAATGTAGGACTTATGATCCCACAGTTAATATGCATTCCTTCATTAGGGCCTCATGATCCTGCAAGATATGTGCATTTCGTTTTCATTCATCTTATCATTGAGGAAGTTGATACTCAGAGTAATTTATCCAGCATCACCTTGCTAGGAAGGGGTGCAAGATGAGCAGGATATGCACTGTGTTTTTGTTAGATGCTGTCCAGTCAACTCCAACCCATAGTTAGCCCGTGCACAGCAGAATAAAACTGTCTGGTCCTGCGCTGTCCTTACAACCTCCTCCACCCTCAGTGCCACTGGCGCAGTCAGTTATCCTGTCGTATGGGGGTCTGTCTTCTTTTCCTTCTCTGACCATCATCTACATTCCCAAGCATCACCCTTCCTGATAATATGCACAAAATACGTGGGGTGAAGTCTCACTATGCTTGTTTCTTTGTCATTCCCTGGCTGCACTTCCTCCCACATAGAATTGTTTGTTCTTTGACATTCCCTGGCATATTCAATGTTCTTCTCTAACTCCATAAGCAGGAGTGGCATCCACTTCCTAAACAACATGCCTCTGAAAACTTGATGAACTTTGAGAAGCAACAATAGTTACAGAAAGGCTTCAGGTATTTTGTTCATAAGGGCATGATGAGTTGTGCTTGACTTGACAGCAATCAACAACAGCTCCATAAATTTAAGCACATTGTTTTCTCTTCTGTCTTCCTTATTCATTGTCCAACTTTCACAATATGAAACAATTGAAAATATCATGGCTTATAAAACAGGTTTGTCCCAGAGATGATAAAACCAGATTGCTCTCTGGAGGCAAGAATTTTGAAACTCCATTTCACATACTTTGGGCACATGGCCAGGAGGGACCAGTCCTCGGAGAAGGACATCATGCACAGGAGAGGAAGACCCCAGAAGAGATGAACTGACACAGTAACTGCAGTAATGGGCTAGAGGTGTCAGAGACAGTGAGATTGGCTTAGGATAGGACTGAGTTCAGAGCTCATAGGGTCACTGAGTTTCAGGTGACTCCTTGGCACATAACAATAACATATATATGTTGATTTAGAACAATTTATTAAAGGTAAAACATTTGGTGGTAGGAATATAAAAAGGATGTAGCTTTGTCCATAAAAAGAAAGACAAAGCAAGCAGTTACACTGAAGTTGAGTTGTGTATGAAAAGAACTAGGTAACAGGCTGTGTGAGTGTGACTGGGCAGTCACTGCAGTGTGGCGTCCTGGAGAATGTGGAAGCTGTATCTAAAGAGGCAGCATTTGAATGAGGGGCTGAATTACAGCTTACAGAATTCTATAGGGAGTATTCCAGAAGAATTTGCGTTTCCTGAACAGAAGTGTTAGAAATACTTGGGAATTGACAAGTAGTCAGATTTAAGTACATTGTTAGAATGGGAAAGTAATGTGTAAAAGTGTGTTTGGTCATATTTTTGTACATCACCATTTCAATATGAAGAATTTGTGCTTTTATAGATTTTTTTAAGTGTTTGTGTTATATAACGTGACTGGGTGACAAGGTTGGACTGTAAGATGGAAGCTCTAGTTTTGGTTGAGGGTTGTGTGGAATGTTTGGTTGGTTGTTTATTTTTTTAAGCCTCTTGTTTAGCATCAACAAGACCTCCTGGAGGGCCCTTGTATTTAAAAGTCCGTTGTGCCCTCAGGCCTCAAGTTTTTATATTTTAAAAGAACCTTCTTCTAAGTAGCACAGTACAGCACTGTTTTGTCAATATGCTGTACTGAAGTAATCTGGATTTGCTGTGATGCTGAACCTTGTACCATTGGGGTGTCAAATGCCATAACGGTTACCCATGGTGGACAATGTTTGGTGGAGCTCCCAGTTCAAGACAGGTTTGGAAGCAGGAAGGGCATCCACTTCCTAAACAACATGCCCCTGGAAACTCTATGAACTTGGAGAATGACGATAGTTATAGAAATGCTTCAGATCTTTTGTTCATAGGGTCTCTATGAGTCGTGTTCGACTTGATGGCAATCAACAACAGCAACAACATGTTATATGAATTATCTTCACAACTGCATTATCTGGGTATTTGTCTTTTCCTAAATTCTAGTTAGGAATGTGTTGACATTCAAGGACTGTGTGCTGATGCAGCCTTTTAGCAGCCCCTCTGCTGTCCTTTGTGCAGTTTGGCAGTGTGGTTAGTGATAAGCAGAGGAGAAGAAATTCATGACTTTCAAGTCAGTATGCACTCAGTACTGTAGCCTGTCTGCTATAGTTTCATAACGTAAAATTCCCAGAAGGAGATTTGAAGGTTTGAAGGTTTGCACATTCAGAAGCCACAGACTAACTGTACTCAGTCTCTATCATGGATTGTTTTACCTGTTACCATTCCTTACTGCAGTATTCAATGTTCCGTAGACAGTTCAACTTTCCACTGAATAACATTGTCACTACCTTGTTAGTGTAAGAGGTTCCTGCTCCTTTGGGATAAATGGAGACTGGAAGGCGTGGAACTCTAAGTCATCTTGATGCAGTAAATAAAAATGTTAGTAAAACTGATCTTCACAAATTATACAGCTGTTTCTGAATAGGACCAGCATTAAAGCAGCAGGGTTTGTAAAGACACAAAGGTGTGTGTCAAGACGGGAGTCAGCGATTGTTAATTAAACCTCCATTACAGTTTCAGCATTGTTTTAGGGTTGCACCTCCCTCACTCAGTCACCGTCCTGTGTCCAGAGTCGCCCCTCTCAGATGATGAGCCCCTGTTTCTGACCACTGGCCTGTGAGACTGTAGGACCATCTTTTCAGCAGTCACTCTCAGCCTTAGAGAAGCACTGAGGTGAGACTGTTGCCAGCCCAGAGGTTGCAGTGTGACTCTGTCCAGTGCCTCTGTAGGAGCAATACTTGTCAGTCAGCTGTCAAACATTCTAGCCTAAACCCCCTATGAGATAGTTCTTCTCTGTCACATGAGGTCCATATTGGTTGAAATTTGACTTAATAACACCAAACAACAGTGCCATGAAACTTGAGGAGAGAGAGAGAAGGCCTGGGCTGTATTGGAAAGATGCAGATGGAGGGGCTGCTTGCTGTCCTTCCCTCAGGTGAAAAGCTCCTTTTTCTGACGACTGGCCTGATTTTGGAGGGAGGTAGTACAACACCTCACAGATACTCTTTCCTGACTGCCGTCTGCAAACCCCAGATATTGAAGAGGAATCAGCAGTTTATTTGATGCCTCCCTGCTTCCTTTGCATCTTCTATTTTGCAGTTATTTTGGCTCTTGTTGATTTTTGTCTTTTATTTCTACAATTTAGAGTTAAGAGAATGTGAGTAAAGGATAATGCGGTTGTTTTATTCTGCCTTATGATCTTGGCTGAACTATGTTTTATTTTCTCCTCAGAATTTTAGATTAAACTAAGCAACAAGTGACTAGGAATTTTCTATTTAAAAAAACCCCAACATAAAAACACCCCAAACTTTCTTTTATGTATTTGCAATACTCACTAACTCACTCATTCACTGATGTTGAGTTGGAACTGATTCATTGCTGAAACTCTTTTGAGTTTCCAAGGCTGCAAATTGCATGGAATGGATTGCTCATCATTTTCATATGGAGCCACTAGTGGATTCGAACCATGACCTTTGGGTTAGCAGCACAGCTCCCTACTCAGTATGCCGCCAGAACTCCCTCTCAATGTTAGCCCCTATTTATAACTTATATTATTGTTGTTGTTGTATACTGTAGAGTCCTCTATTGGTTGGAACCTACCCATAGCTCACCCTCCTGTGGGTTTTCAGAGGCGGTTAGTAGAATGGTAGGAGATGCTTGTCCTTCTTCCAAGGAGCAGCTGTTAGCCTCAAACCATGTGCCTTCAGGATTGCAGCACAAATTCTTGCCACCAGGACACCAGGGCCAGTGTTAATTTCAACCTTCTGCTAGCAGTGTTATACTAGCAGTGTAAATTCTTTACTTCATAAACCTACACCTTAAAACTTAAAGGGATTATACTTCCCCAACAAATTATAGTAATTTCTATAGTAAATCACAAGGAATGGTAAATGCATGACATTTCTATTTTCATCACAGCCTTAAGTATCCTAACATGGTGTTCAGACTGTGTAATCTAAGAAGTAAAAGTTACAACCTCAATTCCAAGGAGTTAATTCAGCTGTGATGATAAAACTCATTCTTTATTATAATGTTAACAATTTAACCTCTTACTTGAGACCCATGACCCAGATGCTCTACAATCTGTAGAAGCAAGAAATCAGTTGAAATAGTTCCCATGAACCATGGCAATTGACGAGTCACGCGTGAACATGTCAACATGTGCCCCAGTTTCTCTTGCTTAAGATCTGTGGCAAAGCAGATTCATTAAGTAACCCATCATTATAGCTAATGGTGTTTGCTTTGCAGCTCCTGATTATGTATCCTTTCCTGTGCCAGACAAAAGCAATGCATGTAAATGGAAACAAAAATTTCTCTCATAAGGGACTGTTTTTTAGAGTCTGCCTCTCTCCCTAAACCAGAAAACACCTTGTACTCAGATGCCATTTGCCTGAAGATTTTGAGTTTGTAAAACTGAACAGTAATAATAATATTTACACAATACTTTCAAAATATACTATGGATAGTTGAGAAATAGTGAATTGTGAAGTAGCTTTCCAAAATTCCACAGCCAAGAGTTGCTGAAGCTGCTGTAATCTTAGGCCTTGAGATGTCACATTCAGGTTGTTTCCTTCACATCATAACTCTTGCAGAGAGTAAACAAATCAATATGCTAAGTATGTCTTTAACACAGAAGAGTGAGAGATTGAAAAGAAAAAACTTGCGACTTTCTAAAACTTTCATCGCATTATTGTTGTTATGTACTGTCGAATTAAAACCAAACCATAGCTCACCCTCCATTGGGTTTTCAGAGGCAGTAAGTTGCCCAGGAGGAGACTGCCATCCTTCTCCCACAGAGCAACTGATGAATTCCAACATGTGCCTTTGAGTTGGAAGAACAGCTCCTAACCATTAGGCCACCAGAACTCTTTATTCCACCAGGCTTTTTTAACAGTCAAACATGTCTTTTTATCAGTTCAGTAAATACTTATTAAACAAATACTAGTTTCTTAAAAGGATGAGAGATGTAAGATATTGGGGGAAAGTATTGTGTATAGCAGTTATTGAAGTAAAAAGTCAAAGTCCAGAAAGAAAGAGAGTGCATGAGTAGCAAAGTTTTAACAGGACAGCAAGCATAAATCTTGGAGAGGGTGTGGAGATATTGGAACCCTCATGCGCTGTTGTAAAATAGTACAACCACTCTGGAAGGAAGTTTTGTATTTCTTGAAAAAAATAAAACATATAATCCATATGACCCAGGTATTATACTGCTAGGAACATACCCTGAGAAATTTAGAACTGAGGCAGGAATAGAGAAATGTACATGTATGTTCATTGCAGTGTTATTCACAGTAACAAGAATATGGAAACAGCCCAAATATGCCGCATATATGGATTGAGAAAGTGCATTATGTAGTACAGTGGCAACCACTTCCTAAACATGCCTCTGGAAGTTCTATGAACTTTGATAAAAGGTGATATAGAATGGCTTAAGGCCTTTTGTTCATAGGGTTGCTGTGAGTCATGCTCAGTTTGACAGCAATCAACAACAACAGCGACAAGGAATAATGATTGTGTAAAATGCTGCATAACATGAAAGAGCTTAGCAATGCAATAAGTGAACTCAGTCTCATAAGGACAACTACTGTATTAGACCATTATTGTAAAATAGAAGGATAGCTAGTAACGTGTATGTTGTCTCAAAGGGGGAGGAAAAAGGGAAATAGAGAAGGGAGCAGGAAAAGGGGAAAGGTTGAAAGAAAGGGATGACTGACTAGGAAAGATTCAATGGGAAGTTGACAAGTCAATATTATAATAGGCATAGATCATAGTAATTAACTATATAAAATGCAGTGCATATGATGATTGTATGAAACAGTGTCCATGAAAAACTGTATAAAGCAGTATCAATGAAAGACTTTATAGAACCCAGTATATATGAATGAAACACAATGTAAGCAAACAAAAAAGAATTCCTCGAGCAGCACCTACAAATAAAGAAGTCAGAAACCTTGAAAAGGAAAAAGAGATTGTGATTGTTATTAGGATTACTACAGTAGGCTAAAAAGTATATAGTGGGTTTGTGGGATTTGGTGGTGGGGTTGTTCTTTGTTTTTGTTTTCTTTTTTTTTTACTATTTTGTGATTTGGATGAAATTTACAGAGCAAAATTGATTTTCCATTCAACCATTTTGCTATACATTTTGTTTTGTGACATTTCATTGCAGTCCTCACAATTTATCATACTTCTTTCGATTTCACCCCTGCATTTCCCCTTTCTCTTATCCTTTCTATCCTAATCTCTTCCTGCCTTCTGCACTTAATCCATGGGCAGATGCTGCCCTTTTGATCCTCCTGCATTGATTGTTCTAAGGAAATGCGTTACTGCCCTGGCCTTCTGTCACCTAATAGGCCTATCCTTTAACTGAAAGTTGAGTGACAAATACCATGGTGGAAGGTTGACTAAGGCTATTAGTCTCAGGAGTTCCATGGAAGTATGTTGTTCTTGTGTTCACATTTTGAGGACGATAAAGTCTCTGGAGACAGGACAAAGTGTAATTGGAGAGAACCTTGAGCAAAGGTGTGAGGTGAGAAGGCACATGGCAAGTTTGGTGAGCAGAGCCTCCTTAATGTCCCACAAGATCACCGGAGAAAGATGAAACACAGAAAAGCTGAGCAGTCCGGACGTCTCCAGTTCTGAACCGGAGAGAATAATTTTCATCCGGTGGATAGGTTTAATTATTGGTTCATTTATTTTTGCAGTTAAAAGGCTGTCATTTTCCTTGCTTTTTAATTGTTGATACTCTCTTCAGTGTTAAAAAGAGAAGCAACTGCATATTTATCATGTAATAGTAATAATAATGTTTATTAGTTTTATATCATTTAATGTTTGCTTTATGACTTGCCTGAATGATGAAATATTTTTACAAGTATTTTTTCCCTTAATATTTTATTAGGAATGTTCCAAAAGAGCAAATAACGGGAAATTCACACTTCGAGATTTGCTTGTGGTTCCTATGCAACGTGTTCTAAAGTATCACCTTCTTCTCCAGGTATGCGCCTTGAAACTGTTTGCTTGTTCAACTAGGTACTTAACAAAATAGTAATGAAATATATTTCAGATACTTCATGATTTGACCCAATTGCCTTTTTTTTTAATTAGTATTTAGATAAATGAGAAATGAGGAACCCTGGTGGTATAGTACAGATACTGAGCTACTTATGAAAAGCTCAACAATTCAGATCCACCGGCTGCTCTGTGGAAGAAAGATGGGTGGTCTTTTCACATAAAGATTTATAGTCCCGGAGATCTGATGGAGG